AGAGTCTTAGTGAGAAATCATCTAGATCATGTTGGCCTGTAGGCGTGTCTGTGGGGGATTATCTGTACTATTAATTGAGGTGAGAGGAGCCACCCTGCATGTGGGCAGCACCATTTCATGGGCTGGGCCCTGGAATGCATAAGAAGGTGAAAGCTCACTGAGCACACAGCAAGCAAGCAAGGAGACCTTTATTCTTCTATGCTCTTGACTGTGAAGAATGTGATGCTTTAAGGTCCTGCCCTGACTTCCCAGCAATAATATACTGTAACCTGAACCTGTGAGCTGAAATAAACCCTTTCTCTCTTCAGTTGCTTTTTGTCAGGATATTTTATCACAGCAGCAGAAATGAAAATAGGACACTCACTCCCCCACTACTGCTCTATTCCATGTTCAAACTTCTCTGGACCACCATACATGAGATGAGGATGCTCAAGACACCTAGTGCTCATAGGATGAGGTATGAGGAGACCCTGATCCTAGATCTAGAAGGCCCTGGAAGTCTCAGAGTCAGGACCATCTGTCCCTGTGATTCTATGCAGGTGTCAGAATCCCTACGCTGCTCAATTCCAAGGGACATCATTCTGTGACACTTTCTTAGGAGCTGTGCTGAAGGTCATTCACCCAGGACATAGCATGAATGGTGTCCCTGGAAAGTACTCCCAAAGAAGGAAGTTCTGATAAGGCTGGGGCAGAAGTAAAGGGGTACAGACTTGTCAGTAGGGTGTCTTGTAGGGCTTTGGGGGAACAGCCTCCCAGGCGACCAACAGTGTGGGAACTGAGGGATGCTATATGAATGTATTTAACTAGCTCTTGCTCATCTGGAACTTCATGGGTCTTCAGAACAGACACTTTGTGGGGTAAAAGCATTTGGCATACACTTACTTCACTGTGTCCCATACAATCCTTGATCACTGGCAATTGCTTGGCGAACGAGTCATTTATGTGGCTGGTGTTCTGGTGGATGGGAGAGCAACAAGGGCTATTTGATGTGGTTTCTTTTATTTAAAAATGTGAAATCATCTTTCAAACCCCAAACTGAGTGAGTCCTTTTGAAATTCCTGCAGAGGCTGGGTGTTTCAAAGAGCAAGAGAGTCAGGCAACGTGGCCATATGTGCCTCCCCTCCATAAGACCTAGCATGACACTTGCTCCTTTTCAGGAAGTCTTCAGGAACCAGGAAACCTTAAGGGGAAAGGAGGGTAGTGAGAGGCTGCAGTGAAGGTAAAGGGCGTTTTTTTCTATATGGGCTTACTGGGGACCTGTCTGGCTCCTGGAAGTATATCAATTGTTCCTGCCCTTGGAGTGGGGTGGTTGATAAACCTCAGAACAGTGAGGAGGGTGGGTGGCTGGGATGCTCAGACATGGCAGGGGCAGAAAGGAAGTATGGCAGTGGACACATCTTGGGGAGGTTGGATAGGCAGAAGAAACATACTCACATCACCACAGGTGCCAGCGTCAGTGAATGAGTCACCAAGCAGGGTGGCGATATGGATGAGAGCCTGCTTCACCCAGAGCGGCCCTGCTATCCAGCTACTGCTGATTGGTTCTGTGTGAGAATGGCACCCATTGTTGTCACATCTATTAATTCCCTTCCCCAGGAAATCTGAATTTTTGTATAAGTTTATCTTAAACATTTTTTTGATTCATCCATCTATTTCCATTTTATGTGTATGAAGTTTTTTCCTGTATGTATATGTAAGTGCATCACATGCATATAATGCCCAAGGAAGTCAGAAAAGGGAATTGGATTCCCTGAAACTGGAGTTATGGACTGTTGTTAGCTGGATGCAAACCTGGGTCCTCTGTAAAGCATGTGGTGCTCTTAACTGCTGAACCATCTCTCCAGCCCCTATAAAATTATCTTCTATTTTTTAACACTGGGAAGCAAAATAGGTGTGCAGGCCTCTACCAGGCAAGTTCTGATTGAGGGACACAGATGTGCCCAGGGAGTTGGAGAGTTATCAGGGTCAACTTGACCTAGGAGTGTCTGGGTTCTTCTAGAGGGTCTCAGATCCCCCTGCGGTGGGCAAGAAAGCCATCACTCTGATGCTGCTCTCAAGTTCCAGGGAATACCAAACATTCTTAGTTATGTCAGGAAGCTTGAGGGAAGGGCCTCCTGGAAGAAGTTGAACCTCCAAAACAGGACCATATGCTGAGTGGGCACTGAGGACTCCATGTCTGGGACCTCCTCTTGCCTATACTAAGCCTGGAGCGAAGTCTCTCTTGACGGGGGTTATTGTCCTACCTTCAGGCTCCAGGGACAATGCAGTGAACCTTTACAGTGGCAGCAGACTGAGCACCTTTTGCAACAGTCTTAGAGTCATGTGGTAGTTCACCAAGCTGAGCTCCTGCCTCATACTCCTTACTCATACCCCAGGGATGTCTGTTTTCCTTAGTGCCTGTTTCTTAGCGTATGTTTCTTAGTGCCTTAGGGAATTAGGTTTCAGTAACTCTCCCCAAACTCCTGTTAGCCTTCTATTATGGTTTGGATATGAAGTGCACCCCCAAAGGCTCATGTTTTTAAGGCTTGGTCTACAGCTGATGGATGCAGTGGGTTGAGTTATTCTTGAGGGCTCTGACCTAATCATCAAATTTGTTATTTGATGACGTTATCAGAAATTGGTAGAAATTAGGAAGTAGGGCCTGCTTGGAGGAAGTAGGCTGCTAGGAGACATGTTTTTGAAGGGTGTATCTTGTCCGTGGTCCTTTCCTGTCTGCCTTTCTGCTTTCCAGATGTCATGAGGTGAACAGCTCTCCTCCATGACCTTTGCCCTTCCTGTTTGCCTCAGGTGGAAAATTGTCAATGGAACCATTTGAAACTGTGAGCCCAAATAAACTCTTCTTCCCTTAGATTATCTTCTCATGTGACTGTCACACACCCACAAAACAGTGACCAACACTTCCTTCCCCTCCCCAGTTTTCCAAAGTGGGATCAGTCATTGCTACCACCATTTGGCTGAGAAAACTCTCCATTCTCACAGGAGTATTTCTGGCCAACATGAATGAAGGAAAACACATAAAAACTGGGGCCCTCAGGGGGGGCTTATGAAGCCCCACCCTTCCTGAGGACCTAAAGTCAGTTAATGGTTGCTGAGGGAGAGACATTTTCTCCAGGGGTGTAGCCACTGGTAAGTTGTTTATGCTTCTGTTAATAACTCTAATTAAACTCATTGATTCACAAACAAATAAACAACAAAAAGAAAGAAAGAAAAGATGTGTAGGTATAAGGAAGACTGGTTGGGAAGAGGAAGGTGATCAGCAAGAGTAGGGGAAGGACAAGAGAGGACAATAGGGGTGAATATCAAAATATATCATATATGTATCAAAGTGTCATAATGAACCCCATTATTATGTATAATTAACATACGCTAACAAAAACTTCTTAGAAAATAAAATGAAAAAGAAAAAAATTAAATAAAATGAATCAGGCCCCCAGGCCTCTTTCCAAACCTCTTCCATGGATTGTACCTGCCCTGACTCCTGGGGAGCAGAGGATGGGTAGAGTAGTCCTTGAGACTGGGGCTCTGTGGCACTTTTGAGATGACATTTGAGAGGCTGAATGGTGAGTCTCTTTTACATGGTAAGCGTGTTCCATGGGAGCTCCCAACCCCTGCACATTCTAGCAGGAACAGAGGTTAGCAGGAGCCCCCAGGCAGGTGTGTAAGCTTGAGTATTCCTGGCATAGAGTCAGATCAAATCAGCATGGGGACCAAGCCTCAGGCAGTATTGGCCTGAGGTCACCCAAGATCCCCTCTGTTTCCTTGACTGGTTGGCTGGGGACCAGTGAAGGAAGAGAGGTGAGTAGTAATGGCAGTTGTGTCAGGGTGCAGGGCAGGCAGGTGGACAGAATCAAGTTACATGAAAATCCCAGCTGGCTCATGTGTATCAGAAGGACACAGTCTTATCATCCTGCCCAGGTGACCTATGGGGGACAGAAAAGTTGGGAGGGCATCACAGGATGAATATTTAACTTCCTTGTGGAATCCAGTGATTTTCAAGGGCTTTAGAGTATCCATGTTACCAAGGTGCTAATTACATGCTGTTCTTATCTATGAATTGAATGAATCCCTAACACAATAGTCTACTGGATAGCATGTTATTGACTTGTCTAAACTCCATTCTCTCATCTCAGATTAGACAGACGGCTGCCTCCCCCAACCTCCAACCCCCAGGTAGGAGGATGAGTAGATTGGAGGGAGCTAGGGAGCTCAGAAGTTCCAGGCTAAAGGTACTCTCAGCTTTCCCATTTTGCACTGTTTTTTCCCCAAGACCTACCTTCTGTTTCAAGAAGACCTCACTCTACTGTCCACCATGTGGTTACTCCAGTCATTTAAAAACTCATCACCCAAAATGACCTTCATTCCCCCTTCTAGGTACCCAGGGCTAACCTGTTCCAAAGGAAGTGCCAGAGGCACTTGCTCTCATAGACCTCATAAACTATAAATAGCAGTAATATCAAGTTCCTGGCCTCATCAATTTCTGCTGTGTAACTTTGAGCACGATCTTCATTTGTTCATTCTTTCCTTGCCTGACCTGTAAACTGGCAGTTGTAGTTAATCCATTTGATAAACAAATAATTATTGAACAACCTGTTCTGTACTGGGCCCAACTGAATCTGTCATTTAGTGTTGGTTAAAATCATGGCCTGGTGCCTGGCATGCACCAGGCTATCAATAAATGCCAGTTTTCTTACACAAGTCCTGGGGTTGGAAGGTGGAATAGGTGATAATCAGTGGAGATGGGAGGGGTGGGGACAGAGAAAGGGGACACAGGTGAGGGGGGTGGAGGGCTGGGTCTGCTGCCGTTTGGATTTCCTACTATTCTTCCTTGCTAACATGGCCTGGCCTGGCTTTGTCTCTAAAGACAAAGGATGGTGCTAGGATCCTGAATATTGTGCCTCACTTTCTGCCTATGGCTCTTATCAAATCATCTCTGTATCAAATCTATACTCACACTATGTGTAGACTACATCATTGGTTCCTTAGTCTCTCAGACCGAAAAGTGGAGATAGGAATTCTCTTTATTCTCAGGCATGAGGGTATACCACAATGTGCCCATTTTACCAAAGTGGGATCAGGCTTTGATGACCCCTCAACCCAGTTCCCTAACTCACACTGTGTGTCCTTTAGCAAGCTACTTGACTTCTCAGAACCTCAGTTTCCCTACCTGGAAAATAGGCTCAAGTAAAATTACATATCTCACCATTTCTGTGAGGAATGAATGAGATAAGGCATGTGCTTTCACAATGCCAGTGCGTAGTATGCTCTCATTAAATGGGAGCTATTTATTATGCTTAGACTCCTCTCTGTTGCCAGGGCCAGCTTAGCTCCCTCCCACCTCTACCAGAAAATGCTCACAGCAGGTGGTGGGTGAAATCGGACTTCCTAGTAGCAGATCTGCTCCCCAAGAGCAAACCCAGACACCAGCAGAGCAGTCTGGGGGCAGAGAGGAACAGAAGCAGAACTGGCTTGGTGGAAAAGGGACCAGGACGTGTGTGCCCCAAGGACAGGCCCTCCTTCCCTAGGGGTGCAGGTTCCTGGTTCACCTGCTCTGATGGTCAGAAAGCTTTCTCTCCCTGGGTGGGTAGGTCTGTGTTTCAAGTTTTAAGAAGTCCTGGGGATCCTAACCCATTGCCAGTGAGGCCCAGATCCAGTGAGGCAGTCAAGTGCTTTCTGGGCCTTCCCCATAGTGGACCGATAACCACTTCAAAACCAGGACACAGTCACACTATGCCCCATCTGGGTACAAGTGGTAGATCTCAACCATGACCACATATTGCCATATGAGCCAAGGTTAGAGGAGGGGTCTGAGAAGGGAAAAATGTCCTCATCCTGTGTTCTGTCAAAGATCCTGGCTCTAGGCCTCTGTTCCTTCCCCTGTGAAATGAGGTTTCATTTCCCTGACTGTTGAAAAGATGAGAAATATAATATTATCCATGGAGAGGAAAAACAAGTCTCAGAGAGAGAATGGGGTGAGTGGGGATTCCCCAGCTCACTGACAGGGAGGGCAGGACCCTGCTGGCCCTTGTCCTTTGAAGCAGGGTCTTGTCACTGATCTGAGTGGCTCTGACAGGTAGAATTCCCTTTCTCTCTCTGGGTGGACACATTCTGTTTCAAGTCCTAAGAAGCTTTGGGATCCCATTCCATTGCTGGTGAGGCCCGAGGGTTTCCTGGGCTGACAGAAGGGCTCAGCCCCCAGCTCAGAGGCCTGGGCTGGGAAGAACTCACTCCAGCCACCTCTTTTCCACTATGGAGGCTGCACCATGCTGTCTGTAGGACTCTGTCCTCCCCACAGTAGAGACAGATCTCACCCTGTGGCCACGCCAGGTCTGCCAGATCTCCCCATCATGTCCTTGTATCCTCTCCTGACTAGGCTATTGGATCCTATGCTAGGGCTGGACAGCGCCTTCCCAGGCAGAAGCAGGGGTACTGGCAGATCATAAGGCACCTCCCGATAGACCTAGAGGACTGTCCTGCTGCCTTAATGAACATTGCAGTAGGGAGGCCCCAGGAGTGACAGCTTCACCAGTTCATTCACCTCACCTCTCTGCTGGGGGTGGGGAGAGAGGAAGGGGGAGCTGAGTCACGCTGTGGCCATCCCCAGGTCTCCAGCTGTTCCAAGGGACAAAGGCATGTAGTGCTTGTGACTTGGGATGGTTTCTTTCCCCATCCTCTCAGGCCCCCAAGACTGGAAGTCACTGAAACTATGGGCTGGCCTACACTGGCCACAGTAGAGGTGCAGTGCCTTCAGTTTATCGAGTGAGTGTATACTCCTCATCTCCCTGGAGCCTTGTAGCTGCTACTGAGGTGGGTGAAGGTTATCAGATCCATTTTACAGATGAGGTAGAAAGGCTCAAAGAGGCAAATGGATTTGTTCAAGGTTACACAGTTCTAGATGGCAGGGCCAGGCACAACCTACAAGCCACTTGTTCAGCAGGGGCAGGAGGGCAGGGGCTCTGTGACCTGGGGCCAGTTACTTTATTGCTCTGAACCTTAGTCTTTTCATGTGAAAAGTGAAGCAATGAGATAATGCTGCAAATTGCATTATGGTTATTAGTGGCGCAGTGACCTGCCCAGTAAATGTGAGAGATGATTGCCACTATCATCCCCAGGATATTTAGATATGGTCTCTGGGCAGGATGTGCTACAGGTGAAGCTCTGTTGCCTCTACACTCTTTCCTTATCTCCGTTCAGGGCTTGCTAAGGTGAGCCGGAGAAGCGGGGACTGGGTGGGGACATGGTACACCACTTTTAGCTGCCTGCCTGAAGGAAGTGGCCAATAGCATTTGTGACTTGGTCCAGAGCATGGTGACAGCTGCTGCACCTTGTTCACAGACTTCTGGTCTGCTCAGGGCTATGACCTGAGATTCTGAACCACCTAGAATGAGCAAAGAATGGGAGCTGAAAGGATCATGGTGAACCAGGCTCTCAGGGTCCTGCAGGCTCTGTGATTGCCAGCTTCCCAGCAGTAAAAACTGCCCCAGAAACAGATGTCCTTCTCAGTGTCCAGAGCAACCTAAGATACAGGAGGTAAAGCAGGGTCATCTCTCCTGGCAACTCTGCATTAGGTTGGAGAGGCATAGGTCTACCTGGGAGAAGAATGGGGGTGTTTGTCACCCAGGGTCCAGCCAGAGTGATGTCAACCCTGACTCTGTGTTCTCAGTCTCTCATGTGAGCCCTACCCTGGGATACTGCTCCTTTAGCCTACCTCCAGCTTTTGAATTCCCTCTAGGACATAACCCAAGCCAGCAGCCACACACCTCTGTGGTGCTGGGGACCTATGTGTGGGTGGGGTTAGAGTCTCTTCAGGAGTCCTGCCATGGGGAGGGGAGGGTGACTCTGTACATCTGATTATTTTAGGATGAGCTTTCTGAAGTTTTGGGGGCCGATGGGCCCGGATCCTTAGTATTTATGAATTTTATTATGACTGTGTTTGTTTAAATATATATATATATATTTATAGCTCTATGCATTCCCCCCACCCAGCCCCTAGTTCTTGCCCTTGGCTTTCTGTCTGGTGGCCGTATAGGGCAGCACTGTCTGCGTGCTCTTGTCTGATACTGTTTGGGTGCTGCTGTTCCTTGTAATCCTTCGGGTCTGTTCTGGGGCCAACGTGGGGCCTGAGCATCTGGTGGTCAGTGGAGAGCGCCTGGTCTTGTAGGGGGCTGGGGAAGGCTTGAGGGGGCCTGAATGGGGCTCCATATGGGGCAGCTCTGGGGCCAGGCTTGCCGCCTCCTCCTCCACTTCACCATCCCCCTCTTCATCATCACAGCACAGAGCATGGTAAAGCACTTTGTCACTAAACCGTACTCTCTCCCGTGTCCCTGGGGTCCGCTGGGATACCTGACCCTTCATAGGGCCGGCACTGAAGGCCTCCTCACTGGAAGAGTCTGGTGTCTCCACTCGTGGTCCATTGGGGATGGGCATGCCACCATTCATGAGTCGGTAGTCAGGGCCAGTGCCTGGCCGTGGTGCCTCTGGACCATCCACAGAGTCTGATGGGGTAGAGACGTCCAGGAAGGAACAGAACTCCCAGCTGTCTGAGAGGATATCAGCTGTCATGAAGTCCAGGTGGCCCAGGTCAAAGGGGCCCCCTACTCCTGCTTTGTCGCTGCTGGAGGTACTGCTCACAGTGGCGGTGGTCCAGTCGTCTGGCTCCAGTTCAAAGTCAAAGTCGGAGGTTAGCTTGTCGATCTGACTTACCACCTGGCCATGGAAGGGAGAGGAGGTGAGAGGGGCCAGGCAGAGCCCAGAATCACGTGGATGTGTGTGTGTGCCTCTGCTCTGTCCTGGAGACCTCCTGGCTGGTGACCCTGTAAGGTGGGGAGACTGGACTTGAAGTCACAGGTTTGTATGCCCTGTTAAGGGCCCAAATTGGGGCTGGGGAGATAGCTCAGCTGGTAAAATGCTCACCTTACAAGCATGAGGACTTAGGTTTGATTCTCAGAACCACATTAAAAATAAAGAAAAGTTGGGCATGGTAGACTCTTATAATCCCAATCCTAGCAGGAGGAGGAGGGAGGGAAGAGCAGACAGAGGATCCCTGGGGCTTGCTGGAAGTAGGCAGCATCTGAGGAATGACACCCAAGGTTATCCTCTGACCTCCACAAGCACACACACACAGACACACACACACACACACACATGCACGCACGCACACACGCACGCAGGCACGCACGCAGGTACATGCATGGGTACAGGGCCAAATTGGACAAGGGTGAACAGAGTTTGTTTAGGTCACTCCCTTGGGGGAAGAGGCACTGCTTTCAACCCTGCCACCTGCCCATTTACATGTTCCCCTCTCCCAAACACAACTGCTATTTGGGGTGAAGATGGTATGGTGATCAGGGCTCAAACTTGGTTTTGTTGAGAGACTCCAGCAAGCCTTGGAAATCCTGCCCTGAAGACCTCCTGGCTGTTGACTCTGCAAGGTGGTGGCTGGACTTGAAGGCAGTGTTGAGATGAGCAGCCCACTCACTCTCAGGGAGAAATGACAAGGGCAGTCATAAGGAGGACCCTGCCCTACCTACCTAAAGCATCCTGGACTCATCTCTGCCATCAGGTAGTGACTCTCTCAAGAGTCTCTTTCCAGCCCTGGGGACTAGAGCAGCAGGTGTGTGGCAGTGGTTGGGTCACCCTCCCCTTCTAACTGCATGCCCTGGAGCCTCCTCCCTCCTTGTCTTCCCTGCCTACTGATGAGCAGAGATCAATCCAAGCTTATTGGGAAAAGGAATAAAGCAAGCATTCTTTGTTAAGCAATAAAGGGACCATTCATCCTGGCCCAGAGCTGCTTGTTAAATGTACTCAAGGGGCAGCTCAGCTGTGGAGGTCACTGGACCCTGCTCTGCCCCCTGTAAAGAAAAGCCCTCGGTCTCTGAGCAGACAGTTCTGCCTGTGGATGCACCCTTGCCTGGGCCTCTTTTGGCTCATAAATCAGAAAGGAAGACAGGGAGAGAGGGAGGCAGATCAGACAGAGGCCTAGGGAGAGGACAGAGCTTGAGAAGGGGGAGAGGAGGGTCAGGCCAAGGCCAGAATATAAAACAAACAAAACAGCCAGCGGAGGGAGCAAGTGTTAGAGCCACAGAGACCCAGGGACAGAGACATAATGAACCATCAGGACCAATATCCTGTTCCCAGCATCTGGCTGGCATTATCTGCCTGGGCTCCGAGTGGTCAGTTAATAAGTTAACTAAGCAAGTCTTAATCCAATTCTCCTTTACCAGCTACTGTTGTCATTCAGACACTGCTCCATGCCTGGTGAGAAAAGTAGGTGGTTGGTGCTCCAAGGTGAGGCAGGAAGCAAGCAAAGATTCTGTCTAGAGCAGCTGGGTCAGTGGGAGATGGGCTCCAGGTACCTGACTGTCCCTATACCTTTCAAGGTCTGTTTCTCAATTAATAAATTGGGACAGTGGGTGAACTAGTTTACCTATAAGGTCCCTTCCATCTCTGAGATTCTAGGAGTCTGTCTCTGTAAGTGAGTCTGAGAAGTTGTTTGAGGAGCCCATGCCTAGGGAAGTTCCCTTACTGTGGCTGCAGGAATCAGTTGGCTGAGATCTGCAGAGGACTGGAGGGGGGACACCCGGGGGACAGACTTTAGGCAAGTCACATAAGCTTTCTGGAACGCAATGTCATTCAGCATCAAGTGCCTGGCCAGCCTCACCAGAGCTTCATGGCGAGCAACAAGGATAGTGGGAGGATTTGGAGGAGACCTGGAAATCAAAAAGACATCGCCGCTCACCTCAGAGCACCTACTATGTGCCAAGCTTTTCATTTTGCACCCACGAGATCATAACACTCCCAGCTGCTGTCTTGTGTTTTCAAAAGCACTAGCCTGGTGGTCTGGGTGCTGAGGAATTAAACCAGGGGCAGCCTAAGAAGAGGCTCTGCTGTTCAGTTAGCCACATCCTCAGATGGGACTTCTGATCCTGAGAGCCATCACCAGCTGCTGCAGCCTGAGGGTGGTGGTACTTGGAGGAAGCTGGGATTGAATGGCTTGGCTGGGATCCCACAGACTCAGCAGAGGCCAGGCTGGGTACAGAAGGCCTGATGGATGGAAGGGATATCCTGGGTGTACCCAGCAGAAGCCTGTAAGCCTGGGGTTGGGGAGGGGCAGACATATTCCTAGCTGACCACCTGTTCCAGAAGCCTTCCCATTGGGTTCCTTCCCTTCTACATTAGCATCCTCTTTTGGTTCACCTTGGGGTATGGAGAATGGGAAAGAGGGAGGCCTGGTTTCAGGTCTCAAGTCTGCCCCCTGTTGGCAACAGAATTGAAGGTAGATGATAATCCACCTCCAAGCTGTTGTCTCCTGCTCTGACATGATATCACTCACCTTGCCCAGGATGATGAAGATGGAAGAATTACCACCATGTTTTAAACTACTGCATCTGGACAGCTAAACCAGTAAGTCAAAGCTGAGCTCCAACCCCGACTTCACCACTTAGGAGCTGTGTAATCTTAACCAAGTTACTTAACTTCTCTGTACTTCTGTTACTTTACCAAAGGAGAATTCCAGCAGTACTTACTTGAAAGGGCTACTATGAGGACTTGACCTAACACTGTTGGAAAAGCAGAAAGAACAATGTAGACTACCAGTATCCATCACGCACCAATAGACATGAACATATGGCCAGGCCCAAGAGCAGATAGGAATCCATTCTTCACCCAAGAAATGCCACACTGATGGGGAGGTTTTGGTGTCTGTGGCAGAATGCCAGGATATGGTACACCTTTCATGGCTGTGTGTGCTGGTACTTATTTACCTGAAGTATACATGTGTCCTTGAGCACTACAGATCTGATTTTTACAACACTTGATGAATGACAGAAGTGAGGATCAGAAAGAGAAGTCAAGTGCTCTGTGGTACTCAGCTTCTGTGCGGGGTCCTGGGTCAGTCCCTAACCCTGCTTCCCTTCTCTAGTGTCTCATTTCACAGGCCAGCGTGGAGGGCAGGTGTTGGGACAGGCCTGTGTGACCTGCCTCTCTGCTCTGGTTGTCTTGAAATCTGTGATTTCTCTCTGAGATTTAATAATCATTTTGCCTACATGTAATTTGGGATTGTCTTGGAGTGCAGAGAAATAATTATATACACAGAAGGAAAGAAGGGGAGAAAGGAGAAAGAACCAGAAAAATCTCAAAGCAGGAAGGGACTAGAGAGACACTGCTGAATGTACCCATGCCATTGTATTTACTGATGGGGAAACTGAGGCCCAGCACCTGGAAAGAGCTGAGTTGAGGCTTGAAGTGGAGTCCTGACTCCCTGGTCTGGCACCTTGCAACCAAGACTAACCTTCTCTGAGGGGCTAAGACTGTGCATGTGAGAGGGAAAGCAGGGCAGAGAGCTGTCTCAAGTTCCCTAACCTGTTTTGGTCAGCCTTGCCCATTGAAATCTTCCCATCCACAGCAACTTCGTGCCAGTGCCTGCTCCATGGTCTGCATTAGGGAATGTTCTGATCAGCATCAGGACCACATCCCCCCTATGCCTCCAGTCCTTTCCTGCTCCCCAAACTCCTGAGCCTTCTAAATGCCACCCCCTTTCCCCTCCAGCAGGTGGCCTCCCCCTCATCTCCTTGTACATTTTACCAAGCTCCCGGCTGCCACTGGGCTCACCTGGCATGCCCTCCCTCCCATTTCTCTCCATTCTCACTTTGTGGAGAAAGCCTCCTGGTTCCCAGCTGAGGGCAATATTGGTTGCAGCTGCACTTTTGTGCCTGCATGTCATAATGTGGTTGAAGTTTGTCTCCCTGATAGACAGTAAGCCTTAGAAAGGTTAGGGCTGGGTCTGTTCACCCATCATTGTACCCCCAGCTACACAGAGATTGGCCTACTCTATAAGTGAAGCTGTAGACCAGCTGACAGAAGCCTGAGGGGCTTCTGTGTTATATACCTGGACCATCCAGTATACCTGGCTGGGACCCTCCCTCCACCACTGGCTGAAATCCCTCTTCAAGGAAGGCATTTTTGTGTTCTCTGAGGACTCAGTGTCCCAGACCTAGCGTCCCCACCTCCTTCCCTTTCTCCCAGCTCCCTGGACAGCTGGTTATATAACTGGGGATCCTGCATTATTTATGACCACTGATTGTTTTTTAATTCTGTGATTACATTGTTTATTATCTTCCTGGGGGGCTGTGGCATTGGCGAGAGGGAGAGTGAGCTGATCATGATTCATGGCTCTCATCCCGCAATTTGGCCTAATTGGCCAGGGAGCCTCTGTGAATCTGTCCGGAGGAGAGAAGGCAAAGGAAAAAGGGAGGAAAAGAAGGTGTGAAAAAAAATAACAGAAAAAAATTCACCCAAGTCATGCTGAACTGCAGGTGATAGAGCTGACCCACTTTGGCACAGCCCTGTGGTCCCCAGCCTCTCCTGCTCCAGCTGCTTCCTGGCTAGGCCACATTTATTCCTCTCTCACTAGCAAAGGCTGTGGTTTTCCCTGACACCTTTACACATGGCACCTGACCAATGGACAGCTGGAAAACAGGCTGCCACAGAACTATGCAAACCAGGTGGTGGGACCACCGTCTTGCCACCTCCAGCAGAAGAGAGGCTGTGGCCACCCTGTTGTTCTGAGATCTTTGGGACAAGTGGGCAACCTTACCCTTAAGTTATATCCTACCCAAGACTTACTGGAAATGTGGGAGTACACATGGTCAATGAAAGGATCACTTCTGAACACCCCATGGAGCAGAGGGAAGCCAAGTACCTGTTCAAGGTGAGCTCAACCATTGGTGGGCCAAGGATGAGGACCTTTAATCCTACCCTTGGGAGCTCTGAGCCTGTGGGCAGCAGGGGGAGGCATGAGGAGGCAGATTCTCCCCCAGAAACACAACTAGATTTGTGGAAAGTAGGGATTTTTACTGACATCAAATTCATGTTCTATACTCTGCTGCATGGTCTCCACTGCATACCCTCCCTTGTCCTCTGAGGCCCTCTCTGCTCCCCCTTCCAATGGCTTCCTCAATGATCACATTCACTTCCTCCCCACGGCCCTGGTACCATAGCTCCCACTGCCTGCAATGTTCTTCCCCTAGATGGCTGGTGATCTTGTCTCTCGCGTCTGTGCATCTCTGTTCAAAAGCTACTTTACTGGAGTCCCCTTCCTACCTCCATCATGGTCACTGTCTCTCCTTTCCTCATTGGTGGGAGATGAGACTGCCTACTCCAGGTGGCACCCTTTTGGCTAAGAGGCTGCTATGACTCTAGAAAACAAGGCTATTCATGGAGTTGGGGAGCAGGAAAGTGCTAGAATAATTTAGTAATAATACCTAACAGTGGGCTGGGGACATGTCCTAACATGTGAGGCCCTGGATTCAGTCTCCAACAATGCAATGTAAAAACAAAACAAAAAAGATATGGTGTTGGCTTTGTGCCTGGCATCTCTGTGACTCTAATTCACAGTTCCCTTTCCTTTGTTTATATGTGTGTGTGTGTATGTAAATTAAAAATTTACATATATTTGTAAATAAAGAATTAGAATCTTGATTTTACAGATGGGCCAACAGAAGCACAGAGAAGCAAAGTAACTTTCCCAAGTTCACACAGCTCATGAAGGGGTGGTACTCAGATCTGAACCAGAAACCACTGGCTGCCTGGCCTGTGGTGTTAATCCTTGGGCTGGGCTATGCCTCTAACTTAAGATCCACTGAATCTGAGGAGCCTGCTGGGATTGGCTTGGCATCCTGGAGTACTGAGGCACCTAGGAGAAATGAGGGCTAATTAACCTTTGACTATTACATCCCTGGGTGGCTCAGTTTCAGCTTTCAAAGCACTTTTATATTCCTTACCTCATTTAGTCCTTTAACTGACTCTCCCTACTTTTGGGATAGGACTTGCTGCCTGTCACCCAGGGAGCTGGTGGAAGAACTATAGTGGAGACTGAGAAAGTAGAGAGAGGGAATTTCAGATCCTCTGGGAATGAGAGCAGGTATCAGTCCTCCTTCATCCCAAGCCTCCAACAACCCTTGCTGTATCACTGTGAGGGAGGAGCCATCAGCACCTCCATTTCAGAGAGGAGCAAACTGAGACTCAGGGGTTTTCGTGGCTTTCATCCCTTGGTGAATATCAGGCTATATGCTTAGGATGGTGAGAAGTGTTCCCAGTGTTGGTGATGTTGGGCAGGGAAGAAGAGGTATAGGGGACAGGAGGATGACATAAGGATGATGGAGGGTAACAGCAGAGCCTGTCCTTTGCTGCCTGGCCCCTTCAGCAAGGTTCCTGTGCAGCACCCCTGCCAGCCCTGTATATGACTCCTGTCTTCACACCAAAGTGCTTTGGTCTGAGCTCTTGGGGTGGAGCAGGCACTACCCAGGGAGTAGGGTATGATGAAAGAATAGGGCTTGCTGTTCTCTTCACCACAGGCCCACAGATGTCCCTGATGGAAAAACACCACACTGAGGGCCTGAATGGAGTCAGACAGATCAGTTTTATGTCCCCCTTAAGGACCGAGAGTCACCATCACACGTTCTAAACGAGGACCTGAGCACAGATACTCCCATCCCCAACAAACCCCATCCCAAAGGTTATGAGATATCTTCTACTCTTGGGTCTCCCCTCTTATCTGCCTATCACCCTATATGCATACCGCCCTCTGCCTGGGAGACTAGGGAGCTCTGAGGCTCACCCCCTACACCCAGTTGGGTGCCATTGGCAGCGGGCAGGCAGTGGCATTCAGGGTAGATTTTGGTTGTCATAGCAACTTGCCAAAGTCTAGGGTGAAGACACACGGCCTACAGGTGTGGGGGAGGAAACTCATCACTGTTTGTCCTGGCTCAGGCCTCTGGGGTACATAAACTGTCACCCTGTCACCCAGAGCTCTGGAGTGACGGACATGGGGAATAGGTGAATGTGAAAGGTAAGGGAACACCTAAAAAATCCACCAGTTATTCCTAGCACTTAGGCACCACAGCATAAGCATCAGGTATCACCTCCTGAAGATCCTTGTCAAAATGCTGAGGTTACCCAGTACCCCACCTCAAATAAGCATTGGGAATCTGAGCTCTAGGCTCAGTTCTGTCACAGGTAGGTTGTGTGACCTTGGACAAGCTTCTCTGGGCCTCAGTTCCTTCAACAGTAAGTGGACAGGGCTAGTCTGGACAATCTGTGAGATTTCTTCAAGCTTTGAATGCTGAGAGAGAGGATGAAGGGCCCTGGAAGATGCTCCATTAGGAGCAGGCTCAAAGTTGTACCAAGGCTGACTCCCAGGATTATAGACAACACCAGTTCTTGCTGGGGTTCCATGTCCCTTCCTGAGAGTGGGACTGATAAAACTGCAGGGCATCCAGAATAAGATAGGAGTAGAAGAGGACAAGCTAGTTCTTTGGACTCATGAAGTCAGAGGAGAGGTTGCTCAGGAGCCTGTGGCCTTTGACTTCCAAACTGTACTTGGAGCTCAGACTATGGGCAGCCCAGTGCATAGGCAGAAGCACCACCACCTCCGCCTTTGTGAAGCACCAGCTATCCCTATCCCTGGAGACAGGATCTCCTGGCAGGTTCCAGGAAGCTGACCTTGGACCTGGGGCTGTACTGCTTTAGGACGATCCTGGCCTGGCATCTCTGTGACGCCAATTCACATCTCCCTTCAAACAACCCCTCTCCTTCAGTTTCAGGTCAGGCTGGAAAGCCACTTTGCCAGTCTGGAGTTCATGCCCATAGCCTGCCCCATCTCCTCAGTCTCTTACAGCGTCCTCACTACACAGCTAGCCAGGGAGCCAGAGCCTATAACTCAGCTCAATCTGCTCCCCTTTCATCTCTGCAGGGGCCCTGGTTACAAGGAGTTGAAATTTGCCTAAAGCCCACCTGGCTGGTGTAATGGGCCCCAGTGGGCAAATTCAGGCCAGCAGCTCAGAACGCTGGTCATGCATTTTGGGCATGAACGCAGCCCAGGGGGCAGGGTGGAGGACACGTGTACCTCATTACCCCAGCAATGTGGGAAGCAGTAATTAAACCTTGCTCCACTTAGAGAGTCAGAGAGGGACACACACATCTCGGGGTTTCTCACTGACTTTTTGGCCTCGGCAAAAACCATTCAGAAGCATGCCCCGAGGGATGGGGGCAGTCCATCTCTCTAAAGTAGATCTCTCTTACTGCCAATGTACACAAGGACCCCTGCCTGATCCCCTCCAGCAGCTCCCAGCCTCATTCTTACTCCAAGACAGAGAGGCCATAGCTGGTTTTAATCGCCTCTCCCAGATTAAGGGTTCTCTGTGTGATGGATGGGGTAATGCTTTCAGCTGGGCCTCAAGCAAAAGGAACTGATTCAGCAAAGCCATCCACACTCTTCCAGAGTCCCTGTGACCAGCTCAGCATCTGGGAGACAGATAGTGGAGGTCAAAGGTCAGCTTGGGGGCATTTAGTCCTCACTGGTCATCCAGGCAGCCTGCAATGCTAACCACAGAGCCCGGGCCCACTGATATCAGCTCAAGCAGTCTCTGAAACATCAAGGACCTTCCAACCATGGGCATGGTCAGTTTTAGCAAAAACATTTTGTGGTAAGGAGAAGGAAGAGAAGGGTGGTCCTCAACAGAGTGGCCCTAATGCACATAGCTTTGCACATTCAAACACACATGTATGTTTTGGTGCTGAGCCCAGCCAAGCAGGGTTAGGGTCTGTGTGACCCCTGCTCACCCCTCACTCACCTCCCTCAGTTCCTTGGCCACCTCCTTGAGTTCCCTCAGAATGCCTTCGAGCTGCCCGATGACCATCTTCATGCGCTGTCGAATCCGCTCCCGCTCTCCACCACTGTTGGGATCGTCACTGGGCTGCCCGAGGTCTGGGGCACCCCGAATGTTCATCCTTCACCACGTGGCCGCAGGCCTGCCCATACTCGCCCCAGGGGGGCACACACTTCGTCTGCCTCCACCGAGCCCCCCTCGGTCGGGCAGAGCTCCACATCTTAACGGCCCCCCAGCCCACCCTGGCCTTGGGCAGCCTTCACCCAGACCGTGCAGCCTGCCACTACACCTACTTTGCCCCTGGGTGGGGAATGGAGCACCCAGAGGGAGACAGAATATGACAAGGGGGGGGGGGTTCAAAGTGAGGACACAGAAGGGCAAGGGGAGGGGCCTTGGGTCCAAAGAACAGCTTCCAGGACTTGGAGTGCCTGTGGTGCACAGAGCCTATCTTTGCCTGAACCTGGTTGCTGAGGCAGGGGGATGATTCTGCAAGAACTAAGGGTAAGAGATGCCCTTGGGATGGGGAAAGGCAACAATCCCCTCGCAACTCCTAGGCAGTTGCAAAGGCAGAGGTCTCTGGAGGCAACTGAAACTGCAGAGGGACAGTGGTCAGGGTCTTCCAGGTGTGGAGGGGGCTCCAGACATGGGCAGCGCTGGAGAGGAAGCTGGATCCGAGGAGGGCAGCCCCCTGCAGAGAGAGCAAGCCTGGCGTCAGCCCTCCCAGGCTGCAGCATCAGCCTGCTGCCGCTGCCTCCCTCCTCTCACTGCCTGTACCCTTCCTTCCTCGCTGGAGATTTATTTATTTTTTGTTTGTGGGGAGGGGTGGTGAAGCAGATGGTTTTCAGCATACCCCCCTTCTAGAGGGATAATGGGGGAGTCTCTGCTTTGGAGGCAGAAGTCCTCAGCTTTCTCTGGGGCACCCTGGCCGCGTTTTCCCCACCCCCTCAGCCACCAGTCAAGCTTGGCCCGGCTGGTTCTGCACAGGGCCTCTTCAGCTCTCCATCCTTCTTCCAGTGCCCACAGGGTGCCCTCGTTTCCACCGGACCCTCCCTCCCTCCAGCACTGCCTTCCCTCGGATTCCCAGCTCCCGGACTCACCGAGGGTGGGGGCACCGGCCTTTCCTCCAAGCAGCTTCGGGGGCCAAGCCCCAAGGAGAGGTTGGGGGGCCCCCAAGGCTCCCTAGGGCGGGCTTCTCTCTCTGGACCCTTCGGACCCTGGCCTCAGGAAGGTCCTCGGAGCGTCAGCCAGAGACATCTGGGCGGTGGGAGGGGGCGGGGCCTCCGCGCTTCGGGGAAGGGGGCAGGAAAAATCTCTCACCACCTCCGCCAGGCTCCGGGACGATATGAGCGAGGGTCCGGCGGGCTCGGGGCTCCGAGGCCACAGGTGACCCGGGCGCAGGACGGCCGAGGCAACACTGGGCCGGTTCCGGAGCGTGAGCCAAAGTCGGAGGGCTGGGGAGGGCGTCGGGATCCCCTCAGCCTGGCATTCCCAGGGATCCTCACGGTTCGCGATTCTCTCTGTCCAGTCCAGATCCGCAGGGTCCCGAATCCTTCCGGGTGCTCTGCCCTGCCCGCGAGCTGGCACCGCTGGGCGCCCAGGATGCGCTCAGCCGGGACCCAGAGTGTCCGCGCTCCGGCCGGGGCGGCGTCCGGAGCGGCCGCGGGATCCGCTCAGCTCAGTCCCGCAGTCGGCTCGGTCCAGGGTGGGGAATGTCCGGATTCCTCCCGGCCCCCCGGGGGGTGATGCGGGGGAGGGGGCGTCGGCGGTGGCCGCGGGCACCCGGTGTCGGCGGAGATGGAGCGCGCAAGGCTTGGCCTGAGGAATAGCGGGGGGGGGGGGGGGGGGGGGGGGGGGGGGGGGGGGGGGGCGGCGGCCAGGATCGGCGCCCTGCGGAGGAGAGCAGAGGGGCGACGGAGGCGACACGGAGGAGGCACGGCGGGCCCGGCCGGGCGCACGGGGCGCGCAGCCTCCGCTCGACTCGGCCGCCTCCTGCGCGCTTGCTCTCGGCTCCGAGCCTCGCGGCTCCGGGCGGCTGCGGAAGGGGTAAACGAGGCACCGGGGTGTCCCGGGCCTCTCTCCCCGGCTGTCTCGCCCTCGGAGCAGAGGGGCGACGGAGGCGACACGGAGGAGGCACGGCGGGCCCGGCCGGGCGCACGGGGCGCGCAGCCTCCGCTCGACTCGGCCGCCTCCTGCGCGCTTGCTCTCGGCTCCGAGCCTCGCGGCTCCGGGCGGCTGCGGAAGGGGTAAACGAGGCACCGGGGTGTCCCGGGCCTCTCTCCCCGGCTGTCTCGCCCTCGGCTTGCCCTGCGCTGGCCGCCCGGCTCCGCGGGCCTGGCCCGCTTCCCCCACCCCGAGTGCCGGCCGCCCGGGCGGGCGCTGGCTCCCTCAAAGGCCGCGGGGCTGCGCGGCTCCGCTCGCCTCGGCGCTGGCAGGGAAGGGGCCGGCCCGCGCGCCGGGAGGGAGCTTTTAAAGCGACACACACGCCTGCCAGCGCCCTGAGCCAAGCGCGCGAGCCGGGGGGTCTCGCCACCCCAGGGAGGGAAAGACGCGGCGCTAGCGGGGCTGGAGGATGGCTAGCCCGGCCGACAGTCGCCGGCCGAGGTCGCACAGAGGCGGAGACTTGAAGTTTCTTTCCCTCATTTTGACACAGCCCTTTGGTTCCCTTTCCCCTCTGCGGTGCACCCGGGTTTCCCTTCTGACTCCTTCCTTCATTCAGGCCCCCTCCCGCCTCTGCCACCATACCTCAGACTACCCCAGACCTTGCTTTAGCTCAGAAAACAAAATCTGGCCAACCTTTACTCAGCACCTACTGTGTGCCATGGCCTGGCTGAGCCAGAGGTTGGTGGCTACAGGGGTGCTTCACATTTGCTTATCTCCCCCAGTTCTTAATCCATGTTATCAACATTTTTTTCAGGACCTGCTGTGTGCCCGGCACCTTGCTCGGCTCTGTTGGGGGAGGAAAAGTACCTCAGGAGGAGATTCTTGAGCAAAAGGAAAGTGTAGACAGATTACAGGCAAGTTTTATAAGTTATAGTAACATGGCAGGTATGGGGTGAAAGGAGGGAGCACAGGTCAGGGCCCTGAAGTCTTCCCAGGAAAGCAACCTTTGAGCTGAATCTAGGATTCTTCCAGGTGACTATGGCATGGGGGAAGTAGGGATCAATATTCCAAGTGGAAAGTAGGGTGAGAGCAAGGGTTCAGGAGCAGAAGTGGAGGAGGGCCAGTTTAATTGAAACGTGGCTCTGTAGATACCATTGTGAGGACTCTGTGTGAAGTGGGTTAGAGGAAGACTAGATCAGGAGACAGGAGGACCAGATTAGGAGCTTGGAATTTATCCTGGGGCAGAGAGGAGTTATACTGCTGTGGGGGGAAGCCAGGTTCCACCTGCCCACTCAGGAGACCCTCTGGAACACTGTGGATGATAGGTTTGAGTAGAAAGCCATAGGCCAACTGCCTAGTTAGAAGGCTCCTGACAAGTCTTGAACTGAAAGGAGACCATCCAGAAGGACAACAGGGATTGGGGGTGTATGGTAGGGTGTGGTGCCTGGCACTGCTTACAGAAATGATAGGCTGCATGGCAGTACTTAAGAGATTTATTGAGCTTTGAGAGGTAGGGGCAGTCCTTTGCTTCTAGCTTACAGCTTGTGAGGCAGGGTAAACAATTGTGTGTATCTGAGTCAAAGTGGTCTGGGGTAAAGAGAAGACATTTGGGACACATGGAGAGAGTCAGAAGGTGGGTAGATCCATGTTCCTGGAAGAGCTGGGAGTTGACAGTGGTGGGTTTGATGGTGGCTGCTGTTTTGACTTATCATCAGAGGGGATGAGATATTAAGCAGACTAAAGGTTGTGCAGATAAAACATAAGTAGCACCAGGTCCAGGTTGGAAGCTTAGAAGAGTCCAGGCGTAAAATGGAGACGAAGCAGTCAGGGAGATAGAGGGTGAGCCCAGGGAGTGGAATTATAGGTCTTGGTGGAGAGGTTTGACACAGTGATATCAAAAGCTGCAGAGAGCTGGGCTCTCAGAAGAATATAAAATGTTTATTGGCCTTGGCATTTAGGAGGCCACTGGTGACATGTCAGGGGCAATTTGGTGTGTATGTGCGTGGGTGGGGTATGACTGGAACCAAATTGTTGGGCATTGAGGACTGAAAGACTGATGAGGGAGAGATGAGATGAGAGCAGACAGTGTTTTTTAAAGGCTGGACAGACAGAAAGTGGAGAGGCAGGAGGAGGTGGAGCCAGATGGGGGTTTAAGATGGCTCATGGGACTTGGATTCAGGACATTGATGTTTTTTGTGGGTATTCCTGGTTTCTCTTGGCCTCTGAGTCCTCTCAGAGTTTTATTCCCAGAATCCTCCAGAGCTGCTTAGGCGTTCCTTCTCTGCTAACTTCTGGAGGAACAGGGATATGCACTAGGGACCCAGTCACGTGGGCTGGGGACAGGTTCACCTCTGGAGGTAGCTCCAGAGATCCCACCAATCACTTTGTTTTAAATTGTTGTAAAATGCACCTGACATCAAACTTACCATATTAACTAGAGTGCACAGTGCTGTGGCTTTAGGTCCCCTGAGCAGAAGTCACACAGTCCCTGCCATGACTCTTGCAGAATCTGTGGTACTGGGGGAAAACCAACACCAAATATGGGTTAAGCCTGAAACAGTGAAATGAGGGTCTTATCTTAGACCTGCAACTATCTACTCTCATCCAGAATGGGGAGATGCACCTGAGGTGGGAGCGTTGGAAGTGTTGGGAGCTGACAAGCTCTGAGATTAATACTTAATTGATCTTGGGCTCATTAGTGGAAGTTCTGTGCTTAGAAAAGGGGGAAGGGAAGTGATATTTCTTCTGTCTTCTGTGTGTCTCAAACTATGCCTAGGACACCCACCCCCATGAATTCCAGAGTGCACAGAGGACAGTAAGGAATGGAGGATGGGGGTTAGTGTAGAAGTTCTGTGAAGAATGGTTGGGCTGGCTAGGGTGGACTGGGAAAGAACAGACCCAGAGAGGGGTTTCTGGTTCAAAATCTGACATAGGCAAGGGGGGCAGGAAAATGTAGAGATGCACAGGCTTGTCTCCCTGAGTTTGGACCACACGTCCCTCCATATCTCTGGCCACATGCCCAGATGTTCCGCCCCCAGGCTCTGCTTTGATCTTCCTCCACCTTCTCCATCTCCAGGTAGTCTTCCCCCATCCTTTAGTCTACAGAGGGAGGTAGAAGCACTCTTTTGGCTCTTACCCAGATACTTCCCAGGATGTTCATTTAATGTACTAGCTGTGTGACCTTGAACAAGTCACTTAACCTCTCTGAGTGGGGATAAGGGGCCCATAAACATTTTTATGTTTTTCTGAATTGGCTATCATGGAAAAAAAGAGGTTGTTTTCTACTTTTCTACCAAATCTTAGACTCAGAAAAATAGAAATGACAATAGTAGTTACTTTCCAGGGTACTTGGCCTAGTGCCTGGCCCCTGTAGGTGCTCCATAGTTGGTAACTGTTATCATCTCTTGCTAATGGCTTGATAATCTGTAAGGTATTTCCTTTGGAGGCCGTGAATTCCTTGTAGTGATATCTTGGTGTCTCCTTCCCCATCTCTCACATGGGCCAGTGTAGTGGCCTGTGACAGCTAGCAACTTTTATTCTCTCACCCAATTTCCATCATCTCACTTCTGACACCTTCTTCCTTTGGGACATTTCTTGCCATTATCAAATAATCCATATAGGTTGTCAGTTAAGTTATGAGCTCCTTTTGCCCATCCCTGCTCCATTGCTATCAGGTAGATATGTGACCTAGAGCCCACCAATCATAGAATGTCACTCCCTAGTCATAGTGATTGGTCCAAGGGGTGGGCACAGACCCAGTCTGACTCCTTCCCTGAAATGGATCTGTTGGATCTTGGAGGAAGAAGACCTTTTTCTGCTCTGATACAAGCTGAATTCTAAGGGCATCTTTCCCATGCAAGTGCAGAAAGCCAAGCAAGCCAGGTGTGCTGGTTAGTTTGTGTCAAACCTAGACATACCGGGGAAGAGAAAAATCTCAACTGAGGAGTTGCCTCCAACAGATTGGCCTGTGAGTATGTTCATGGAATGTTCTCTTACTAATTGATGTAGGAGGTGTCAGCCCGTTGTGGGTTGTATCTTCCCTAGGCAAGTGGGCCTAGATTGTATAAAAAAAGATATCTGAGCTGGGTGTGGTGGTGCATGCCTTTAATCCCAGCACTCAGGAGGCAGAGACAGGTGGATCTCTATGAGTTCAAGGCCAGCCTGGTCTACATAGTGAATTCCAGGACAGCTGGGGCTACAGGGAGACCCTGTCTCAAAAAGACCAAAAAAAAAAAAAATCTAAAGTTGGGTGTGGTGGTGCACCCTTTTAATCCCAGAACTGGGATTACAGGGAGACCCTATCTCAAAAAGAAAAAGAAAGAGAAGGAAGAAGAGGAGGAGGAGGAGGAGGAGAAGAAAAAAAAGAGGAGGAGGAAGAAGAGGAGGAGATAGAAGAAGAAGAAGGTATCCAAGCAAGCCAAGCTAGGGGGTGCAAGCCAATAAGCAGTATTCCTCCATGGTTTCTACTTCAGTTCCTGCCTCCAGGTTCCTGTCTTGAGTTCCTGCCCTGATTTTGCTCAGTGATGAACTGTGACCTGGAGATTGTAAGATGAAATAAACTCTTTACTCCCAAGTTGGTTTTGGTCAATGTTTTCTCATAGCAACAAAAGGCAAATTAGGACAGCTCGAGAGAGGGGTTTAGAGGAGGCCAGTGGCAGTATCAAGTCCCAGCTTTGGCTCTTGCCACCCTTCTTTCAGCCCTGAAAGTT